TGAAAAGATTATTAGAGTGTGGGGGACTCCACATTTCAAACAGCATGGGATGATACTGACTAAAATTATACATTTTTCATTCCACCTTATGGTAAGGAGCAAGTGTTGCCGCTCCTCTGTGTGAAGTACAAATTACATGTCTGACACATGGTTTTGTTTAAAGAGGAGTAATCGCTAATCCAAACAGATTTAAAGACTAATACCACAAGGTGGATAGAGGTTTCTCAGCTAGGGTGCCTTCTGCAGCAACAGACCCAAAACGCTACGCACAGATGAGGAACATCTGTATATAACCATTAAATAGCTATATCAGTAACCACCAAGCACAGCAGTTTCATCAAACCAGCACAGGGCAAGAGGTGGATGTAAATCCGGAACAAAACTGGAGGTAATGGCAAAGTAGTAGAAGTAACCAGCTAAAACATCTGAACGGATAAGGCCATGACAAAATAAAGAGAGTGTTGAAAAAGCCTCGACCCTCACCTCACTTCAAAGTCCCAAAGGAGAGGAGGCACGTAAGTCTACGGGGAACCAACAGGACACCTTCCAATGCAACCAGAACTGCAGTGGGCAGAAGGAAATTGTCCGTCAACACAAACAAGAAAAGGGAAACGGGTTTGAAGACCTTTATTCTTCACAATCTGTGAGATCTGGAGAGCCACAGCTGAATGTAGTTGACGGCCACAAACCTGTGATGGATCCTGCCATAGAAACCATGGCAAACCACCACGGCAAACCACCACAGCCTGGGACACATGACACAGGATGAATTGTTAAAAGGGAAGAGAGAGGCATCTACACAGCTTTTCAAAGGAGGAGGAGAGGAAGGAAGAACTCGGGGAGCTATCAAGAAGCCAGTGTCTGTGACCCGGTCCTCCTGTAAGACTTTATCGTAATAACAAGACAGTTTGGTTTGGGAACTAGAAGGCTGCATGTTATTAGTCAACATATCGGAGGACACGGAGTACTTGAAATGGGAGAGAGTCTGGGCAGGGAACGGTGTGAAAGCAAGAGCAGCCAGCCAAGATGTTAATAAATATTTTCTTTGTGGTTCTGTTTTTTCAACTAGAAATATTTTAATGTGTTGTTTTGGTTTTTTTTTAAATCTGAGTGTATTTTTTCCCCCAGTTAAACCTATTTAAATTAAACACAAAAAGATGGCCATCCATTTTAAAGCCCAGATTTAAAATAACTTATAAAAATAATGTGGCTTATATTACATTAAAACATAAATTGAAGCACACTATACCTGTTGCCAAGGTCTTAAAGAAAATCAACCACAAACTCAGACAATATTAAAGCCAGAAAGCTTAGTTTCCCCTTCCAATCTGAATAATCATTAGTGTGAGATTTATTACAATTATCATCTCAGCTTCTTAGGCTTTGTTTAATAAATATCTCAACTTTAAACATAAAGCATTTCTCAGATCTATTCATCATATTTCACTTATAAGACAAACTGAAAATTCTAGTTTTTTCAACTATTCCAATTCCACAAACATCTTGTCAAGTCTGGAATAAACAAAGGAATTATTTAATAAATAGACAGTGTAATTCAACAGTTTACAAAATTATGACATTGAAAATTCATGTGGGTTAAATAAATAAATACATGCATGTTAACTTACTACTTGTGTGTATGTGTGGTGTATTCTCCTCACTAACAAAAAAGGGGTTATTTTGTGAAAAGATTACTCTCAGTTTAAGATTTCTGAATGTTCAGCAAACAATGAGAATCAATCTTTCCTTGAGTGAAGAAAACCCTTAAAAAGTATGCCTACAAAATATGATTAACATCGCTTACTTAATTCAAATTTGCTCACTTAGTGATTTAAACTATGATTAAAACCCTTACTATAAATTATTTTGGTATGAATTAAACTACTATAAATTATTCACACCAAACCATCCTGCTGTCATCCTCCAGCCTGTTACTGCTGTTACTCTGATGACGCTCACCTCTCTGAGTATTACGTTTCAAAGCTTTTAGCGATGCGTCCCTGGCCATCTTCCCAGCTTTCCCTTACCCAGTGAGAGACTGGCTTCATTTCCATTTCCTTCAGCCATGCCACTCCAAAGATATGGAAATACTTCTTCTGAGAGACAGAAAAAAACACATTCCCAAACAACTGCAGCTCTTCTTCCTTTTTCATTCCCACTTCCTTTCTGCCTCCACCCTCTGTGAGGTTGACGTTGTCCTGTCCTAGGATCAGCATCTTCTTTTGCATCGGCACGTAAATATTCCTCTGTGCTGTGCTCCCACAGCTGCCTCACTGACAATTCCATCCCAGGTCCCATCTTCCCTACCTGTGATTACGTTCCAGGTATACCTCCCGAATACCAGATCTCCAGCTTGCGGAGAACAGGCTGAACACAGTTGCTACCACATTCACCACTTGCTCCTTAAATTTTTTTTTTCAAGATTTTAAGCTGTGCTCCCTCGCAGCCCCTGTGAAAGCCTTTAGCAAAGGCTTTCTCCTCCTCCAGCTGACCACACCAGGCACTCTGCGGGTATGTAGTTCACTGATCCTTCCTCTTGTTTTTCCATCTCATGGAACACATTTTCTTATTTACACAACTTAATTTCTCTCTTGCAATGGCTGATTCTCCTGGTCAATGACACTTATCTCCATGAAGCAACATTTGGGTATAAGGCTTGCATAACAATTACTAGACAGAGCTGTTTAAAAGGGACTGGGAATAAATCAGAAAACAATTCAGCAAGCACAGTGGGGACAACAGAACTGTTTCCCCACCATACCAGGTCAGAAGGAAAAGTTGTACTAAGTTTGTTCAAGGGCACCAAAGCATAAAAAAGCCTTTTGTTTCTTCTGCTTTGAATAACTGTGGAAAATGCTAGCATTTTAACACCGATTATTTAACAATTGTAGTCAATTTTTTAAGGAATATTCATGCCAGTATTTAAGCACAGAGGCAAGTATCAGTTCTGCAAACCTTTGCATCCAGAGCCAAAAATAGGTGTGTCAAGTCCTCTTGGTTGACTCACTGCTTCCAAATGATGTGACTCAACTGCGCGAGTGTCTCATGAAAATCTAGGCTTATGTTTTACCTTTTAGTAAATCCAAAATTTTTAAATTTTTTCCCCATGCGCTCAGAGTTTCCTTTCATCAAAACACCCACCATTCCTCATTTATAGAGCAGTTTGGGAACACGTCAGGCCCTGGAATTTGGGAATCATAGAAACATAGAATGGTTGGGGTTGGAAGGGACCTTTAAAGGCCATGTAGTCCCCCACCCCTCGCAATGAGCAGGGACATCTTCAACTCGATCAGGTTGCTCAGAGCCCCATCCAACCTGACCTTGAATGTTTCCAGGGATGGGGCATCTACCACCTCTCTGGGCAACCTGTTTCAGTGTTTCATCACCCTCGATGGTAAAAAATTTATTGCTTACGTCCAATCTAAACCTACCCTCTTTCAGTTTGAAACCATTGTCCCTTCTCCTGTCACTACAGGCCCTGGTAAAGAGCCTTTCTTATCAGCCCCCTTTATCTACTGAAAGGCCGCAATAAAGCGTCCCCTGACCCCTCTCTCTATTCTGAAGCCAGAATAAAGCAATGAGGGAGGAAAGAGAGACAGCTGTGATACAAAGGCACGCCGGGGAGCCTTAGGTGAAGGAAACAACCGAGGCAACAGAAAAATGTGGCAGCGGGAGGAAGCTTGTGGAGGCTGCACAGCAGAGGAGAGACTGCGGGACAGCACTGCAAGAACTGGCAGCCATGGCACGGGCAGGGCAGGCGAGCGGGACGGCCGAGTGAGGGTGCCCACGAAACCTCCGTCCTTTTTGCCTCCCGCGGCCCGGGACTGAGCGGGCCTGCGCCCCCACGGCGAGGTCCAGCCGCGCCCAGGCCCCGCTGTGTGACCGTGTCGGCGTGGCGCCTGGCCGCAGACCGGCTCCAGCCCCTCCTCCCTCCTTCCAAG